GTTCCTCTTGTAGAGACGACAACCGCTTGGACGATTATACGTGTAACAAGTTCCTCTTGTAGAGACGACAACCGCTTGGACGATTATACGTGTAACAAGTACCTCTTGTAGAGACAGCAACCGCTTGGACGATTATACGTGTAACAAGTTCCTTTTAAGAAGAAAACAGCCTTTGCCAGAATGTGTGTGTGTCACAAGTCTCAAATACGGAGGGCTAAACTGTTGGTATTCTATATGTGTCACAAGTCTTCAGTAGGGGGACTTCGCCGTCTTGGAACATAATATATGTTCTGATTAGAAAAATATAACCCTTTTGGAGCTTTACGTATGTCACGAGGATCCAGTAGGGGGTAATGACCCTGTGAGAGGGTATATTTATTAGCATTACGCATAGATGAAACCATCGGTTTCGTTAATGCGTTTTCTTGTTACATCAGGTGGTAGTTAACAACCAGTGACTATTTACAGAGCACTGATAAGACAGTTGTGAAATATCTAAATACTCTGTTTGCTTTTTTTCTTCTGATTTAACCTGACGTTTCCAAACTCAACAGGTTGATATATTAATACATGACCTCTATAAGGTTCTTTACCCAATAATTAATGTTAATGTCTGACTTTGTTTCTTAATCATTTATTTCGGAATTAAAAACGCATTGCGTTCCGTCAGCAATAAATATCGTCGTTACGATAATATTGTCTGTTTATACATGTTTATCGTAGGGTTTACCCAAGGAGATGTTGGACTAGCGACAGGAAGACTTTACGGAAACGACTTCAGCCAAACTACAATCTCTCGATTTGAAGCCCTCAACCTGAGCTTCAAGAACATGTGTAAGCTAAAACCTCTTCTTCAGAGATGGCTAGAAGATGCCGACCGATCCTTCAACAAAAATCCTTCATCTCTTTCAGAATTCTCACAAGAAGCAATCTCACGTCGACGAAAGAGACGAACTAGTATTGACACGAATGTGCGTCTGGCTTTAGAAGAGGCTTTTATAGAGAACCAAAAACCTACCTCACAGAATCTTGCTAAGTTAGCCGAATCCTTGTCAATGCAGAAAGAAGTTGTTAGGGTTTGGTTTTGTAATAGGAGGCAGAAAAAAAAGAGGCTTAACCCTTCCACCATAGTGGCAGCTCCCTTAAATATGACGTTACCCGTCACTGCTACTACTCACCATCCTGTACGTTCCTCCACCTCAAATTCAGTTCCTCAAATGACCAACATCACATCATCTTTGTTATCTTCAAGTTCCGATCGAAATTACTAGAAACTGGTTTTAAAACAGAATGACAAAAGAAAAGAAGAGCGTTCACTTGGTTCGTGAATGTTGTATTACCATGCAGTTTGTGAGGTAACAAAGACAAAACCGAGCGGGTATTTAAAACTACAATAAAGGAAGACCTGGATATTAATATCTTTTGTTTAGTTTAAGAAAATGAGTAAATTGTTTTAAATAACTGTTCTGAAAATTGAAAAAAAGATGTAAATATACCTTTATAACACGAGTGAAAAACTTACCTTGTAAAAGACTCAGGGATATAATATCTTCCTCAATATATATAATAGTTATTCAGATATTTGTATGATAATATAGAAATTTACACTTACGTTTATATAGTTATTAAAATTATATCTAAATGTCGAGTAAAAGAATCCACCTTCTGTCCTAAAAATGCTGGAGGAGTTCTACCCAATCGGAGTCCGAATATCACTGGTAGGCGTGGCTCTTGCATTGCAGGTTAAGGAGTTCTACCCAATCGGTTAACTCATTCGTTAGACGTTTAGACTGTTGAAGTTAGAGAAATAAGGATATGTATTTTTAAATAGGCTAATATGTTATATAATATAGTGACGTTTGATTGGTATTTTAAATTTGGTTTTCACATTAAGTATAAAATACAAGTAACTGTTTACTTGTGTATCTGTTTTATAGAAATGTTGACAGTACAAGAAATGTGTTATTCCTCCTTCGTTGTGTTTTAACCTAACTTGCTCGAGAATTGAAATAAACATTTACCAATGCAAAATAAAATACACAAGCGTCAGCTATACGCCCCCTTTAATAAATATGCTTTAGGGAATCTAATCAAATTAATAAGAACAATAAAGTAACCGAACTCGAGCTTATGGCCCTACTTTTGTTTGAAAATTATGTTTGTTAAAATATCTTTGAATTATTTGTTTTAATAAGATATATATCAAGGTGTAAATTCTTCAATCAGCCTTATTTTACTGAAACAAGTGATAAATATAAGAAATAAAGTCATAATCCTTATACAAAAACGAGATTTTAACCTATAGTTTATTCTGTTACGGGTTTAAAAACTTTGATAATATCCGAATGATTTTTTTTAAATATCTTAAAGATTGTACTAATAGCTCAAACTCATCACTCATTTCTAGATATATTGATTTACACACAAAGAAACAAAACATGATTAAATCAGATAAAACACTTTTTTCTCGCAACTCTTTCCGTCTTGGGGCTTTATCAGAGGTTAATCTACTATATCCCCTCGTCTTGGGGCTTTATCAGAGGTTAATCTACTATATCCCCTCGTCTTGGGGCTTTATTCTATGTATTTCTCCTGACACAGAAAATTGTTCATTTCTCCTGTTTTATTAAACTAAAAATTGTTTAAATTACCTGGCATGCACGTCATTACTCGAATTGTTCCATAATTCAGTTTTTTCTGAAGAAGTTTAAATACAATGTTCGATACCTTATCACCGAATATTTATATACGAAATTGGTCTATCTACCTCGTTGAAAGTGTCTACGCCGATATCAAAAGTTTCCATAATTTCTCAAGTAAACCAACAGTAGAGGGCGCGAAGGTCGATTTTATCAGACATTCTACAGATTTGTGTTCTCAACTTACTCTGTAATACCAGTTCAAGTTCGTATTCTGTGTTTTATTCGTGTTTGTATATATTCATGAAAATGGCAGGAAAAAAAAAGGACAGCCAGGCAACCACCACGAAATTTTGAATTTACGATTTATAAAAAAAAAAAATAAGTTACTTTCATTATATTCAGATGCGTGGAGATGGGTGTTTTTATAAATTTATAGTTACAAATAGATTTGATTACAAAATAAGTCCAAAAGATCTATTGCAGTGTTTTCAGACACCAGGCCCTCTAACGTTCACGTCATCAATCATCGTTTGGAATGAATTATTCAACGTGAAATGTATTTTAGTTGAACATTTTATTCTAAACTCCATACTCCATTTCTTTGCCCTTTCGCATTATCTCTCTTAAAACTGGATTTACAGTGGTATAGGAAGGCATGGCCCGCCCACTTTTCTATCTGTCTCAAAAAAATGCATCAAAATTAGAAAAAAATACTCGCATGAAAAGCAGGAGAATGCATAAAATTTAATGCAGAACCCAAGAACATCCAGAGTCCTAAGACAAGCCCTGAATCCGGGCTGTAATGGATGTGCCTGTAGTGCACATTCGCTCGCTTCGCACGGTCAGACAAATCTTGGGGCTTTCCACTTTTAATTTGCCTCCTACACCTCTGACTTATGATGCGAACCTATGGTTGGCGACCTATAATTAAATAGTCTGAAAAAAGTTGGTAACAACTAACCTAGTAAAGCATATAATTAAAAGTGGGCCTCAGTCAGACAAAGGTTGGTAACCACTAATCTAGTAAACCTTATAACTGAATAGTGGGCCTCAGTCTGACAAAGGTGGGTAACAACTAACCTAGTAAAGCGTATAATTAAATAGTGGGCCTCAGTCTGACAAAGGTGGGTAACCACTAATCTAGTAAACCTTATAACTGAATAGTGGGCCTCAGTCTGAAATAGGTTGGTAATCACTAATCTAGTAAACCTTATAACTGACTAGTGGGCCTCAGTCTGAAATAGGTTGGTAATCACTAATCTGGTAAATCTTATAACTGACTAGTGGGCCTCAGTCTGAAATAGGTTGGTAACAACTAATCTAGTAAACCTTATAACTGAATAGTGGGCCTCAGTCTGACAAAGGTGGGTAACCACTAATCTAGTAAACCTTATAACTGAATAGTGGGCCTCAGTCTGACAAAGGTGGGTAACCACTAAGGTAGTAAACCTTATAATTAAATAGTGAGCCTCAGTCTGACAAAGGTGGGTAATCACTAATCTAGTAAACCTTATAATTAAGTAGTGGGCCTCAGTCTGACAAAGGTGGGTAACCACTAATCTAGTAAACCTTATAATTAAATAGTGGGCCTCAGTATAACAAAGGTGGGTAGTAAACCTTATGACTGAATAGTGGGCCTCAGTATAAAAAAGGTGGGTAGTAAACCTTATAATTAAATAGTGAGCCTCAGTCTGACAAAGGTGGGTAATCACTAATCTAGTAAACCTTATAATTAAGTAGTGGGCCTCAGTCTGACAAAGGTGGGTAACCACTAATCTAGTAAACCTTATAATTAAATAGTGGGCCTCAGTCTGATAAAGGTGGGTAACCACTAATCTAGTAAACCTTGTAACTGAATAGTGGGCTTCAGTATAACAAAGGTGGGTAACCACTAATCTAGTAAACCTTATAATTAAATAGTGGGCCTCAGTATAAAAAAGGTGGGTAATAAACCTTATAAATAAATAGTGGGCCTCAGTATAACAAAGGTTGGTAACACTAATCTAGTAAAACATGACCAACGTTGGACAAAGTAAGAATACCTCTGTATACATTTAACAGTTAACGGATTTTTGATGTGAATTTCTGTAATGCAGGTTTCGCATTTTCAGTAAGTTATGTTTCTGTCAATATTGTAAATAAATGTTCCATTTGTCTCTTCGGGTGCGGTAATTTGTGGTGTTTTTCTCCTTTAACACAGTTGCATTATCTTTATATGTGAAGCAAGAGGTTGTTTGAATCCACGACCAGGAATTTGTGTTTAAATAAAATAGATTATGTATGGTGACTCTAGTGTGAAGTGTCTTATACTTTAACATCCAAAAACTGTCAAGCCACATAAAACCAGATTATGATATTAACTCACAATAAGAATGATAAAATCATTTTTTTAAGAAACCATATTTACTGGCCCTATACTACGGATTTTCCAGTAAAAAGAACATACAGGAACTAGATGCTGTATAGGTAACTTTGTGCGATATTCATACCTAACCTTGTGGAAAAATCCAGGGATTAAAATTACTATCAGTTTTATTGTAATACTTACAACGTTAAAAACCGGGATTTAATACCCGCAGTGAACACGGCACTAATATCCCTTTGTATAGCTTTGTGCTTAACAACAAACAAACAAAAAGTTTATAGTAATAAAGTCCATTTAATGATATACTTGTAGTAAACACATATTAGGCCAGCACTAAATCACTATTACAACACATTAGGTCAACTTGTATTTTGAAAAGTTAATCCATTAAAAGTGAAATATATTTACAGTTAACAAATTTTAATGAAACAGATGAGTTAAAGTTAGAAATTACATCAATCAAATGTTCACTATATCAAAATCACATTCTCAGGAAAAATGGTTAGATCATGTACGTCACGAAACGAGGCAACCAATCAGATCAAGGAAAGTTCAGTGTTAAACATTATAGGACTACTTCGTCACAAAGCGAATAAAATTACAGCTTCGTTAACGGAGTTTCGTTTATTACTATTTGTACATACATTTTCCTCGTAACAAACCTTAGTTGCTTCAGTTTTATTATTATTACCTTTGGCAATTTGGTGCATATATTTGTATTCATTGAGAACCGTCCTGGGATGAACAACAATATATAAGCGCTGAAACACAACTATTAAAAACTTGTTCTATGACACAACAAATAATAAAACTATTAACAGCTTGTTCTATGACACGCTAAATAAACACTACTATTAACAGCTTGTTCTATGACACGCTAAATAAACACTACTATTAACAGCTTGTTCTATGACACGCTAAATAAACACTACTATTAACAGCTTGTTCTATGACACGCTAAATAAAACAACTATTAACAGCTTGTTCTATGACACGCTAAATAAACACTACTATTAACAGCTTGTTCTATGACACGCTAAATAAACACAACTATTAACAGCTTGTTCTATGAAACGCTAAATAAACACAACTATTAAAAGCTTGTTCTATGACACGACAAATAATAAAACTATTAACAGCTTGTTCTGTGACACGCTAAATAAACTACTATAAACAGCTTGTTCTGTGACACGCTAAATATACACTACTATTAACAGCTTGTTCTATGACACGCTAAATAAACACAAGTATTAACAGCTTGTTCTATGACACGCTAAATAAACACTACTATTAACAGCTTGTTCTATGACACGCTAAATAAACACTACTATTAACAGCTTGTTCTATGACACGCTAAATAAACAACTATTAACAGCTTGTTCTATGATATGCTAAATAAACACAACTATTAACAGCTTGTTCTATGACACGCTAAATAAACAACTATTAACAGCTTGTTCTATGATATGCTAAATAAACACAACTATTAACAGCTTGTTCTATGACACGCTAAATAATCGTATTTTTCTACACGTGATAATGCCAAACATAAGTATTTAAAAGTACACAACAGTTTAAAATTGTGGAAGGCACTAGGTTTTATAGAAGCATATTCTTGTTTCCAACAGTTATAAACCCACCATCATTAAGAAGAAAAAGAACGTTGGTAGCAATGTTGTCAGATCTAAAGTATGAAATTATCTTATTGAAACCTTAAAAAGATGTTGTTTTGTACACTGTAAATATGCCAGTTGAAGTCTTATTTTTGATACGAGCTATGACATCAAGTTGACCTGTACTGTTTACTACTTCATATCAACCACTATCACGTTTTGTTTAACTTTTTGTTCTCTAGGAAACACTATATTTATTACTATCATTACTATTTCGTCTTTGCTTAACACTAGTGTAGTATTTTACTTCAAAGTTTTATATATCACTCACATGTGCTGCCTTCCTCCCAGAGTCACAGCGGTTTTAATATCCGTTGGGGGGTACAGCACAGATAACTCTTAGTGTAAGTACAAAAGTACAAGCATGCCTTGTTAACTTTCCTGTTATCTCAAGTTCCTACCTTGCGTTTTCAAGAAGACGAATATGTAATTTGTCATCTAACATTGCTGTCAGGTCCATTCAAGGATTTTTAATGTGTTTTTATTCATATGAAAGGTGCCCCAAAAATCGGTTGATATTCTATTATTTAGGAAGTGAACATTGTTTTTCTTATTTATTTTGAGATTTTTGTATAATGACATTCACGACCGCAAGGTGGTGATCCATTTGGAACATTTTCAGTTCTGTATTGATTTTGTGAACAGAGACTTTGTAAAAGTGTTAAATGATAATATTGACAACAATACCTTAGAAAGTACGGATAGAATAGATGTAACCGTCGTCCAATATAGTACATCCAACAGTATGGACATCATTAGATAGAATAGATGTAACCGTCGTCCAATGTTGTACATCCAACAGTACACACACCATTAGACAGAATAGATGTAACCGTCGTCCAATGTTGTACATCCAACAGTACGGACACCATTAGACAGAATAGATGTAACAGTCGTCCAATGTTGTACATCCAACAGTATGGACACCATTAGATAGAATAGATGTAACCGTCGTCCAATGTTGTACATCCAACAGTATGGACACCATTAGATAGAATAGATGTAACCGTCGTCCAATGTTGTACATCCAACAGTATGGACATCATTATATAGAATAGATGTAACATCTATTCTGTCTAATGGTGTCCATACTGTTGGATGTACAACATTGGACGACTGTAACAGTCGTCCAATATAGTACATCCAACAGTACCATACTGTTGGATGTACAACATTGGACGACGGTTACATCTATTCTGTCTAATGGTGTCCAATCCGTACTGTTGGATGTACAACATTGGACGACGGTTACATTTATTCTGTCTAATGGTGTCTATACTGTTGGATGTACTACATTAAACGACTGTTATATCTATTCTGTCTAATGGTGTCCGTACTGTTGGATGTACAACATTGGACGACGGTTACATCTATTCTATCTAATGGTGTCTATACTGTTGGATGTACAACATTGGACGACGGTTACATCTATTCTATCTAATGATGAACATTGGACGACGGTTACATCTATTCTGTCTAATGATGCCCATACTGTTGGATGTACTATATTGGACGGCGGTTACATCTATTCTATCTAATGGTGTCCGTACTGTTGGATGTACAACATTGGACGACTGTTACCTGTCTAATGGTGTCCATACTGTTGGATGTACAACATTGGACGACGGTTACATCTATTCTGTCTAATGGTGTCCGTACTGTTGGATGTACAACATTGGACGACGGTTACATCTATTCTGTCTAATGGTGTCTATACTGTTGGATGTACTACATTAAACGACTGGGACGACTGTTACATCTATTAAATGTTGTACATCCAACAGTA